TCTCTCTCTCTCTCTCTCTCTCTCTCTCTCTCTCTCTCTCTCTCTCTCTCCTCTCTTCTCTCTCTCTCTCTCCTCTCTCTCTCTCTCTCTCTCTCTCTCTCTCTCTCTCTCTCTCTCCTCTCTCTCTCTCTCTCTCTCTCTTCTATTCTCTCTCCTCTCCTTCTCTCTCTCTCTCTCTCTCTCTCTCTCTCTCTCTCTCTCTCTCTCTCTCTCTCTCTCTCTCTTCTCTCTCTCTCTCTCTCTCGCTCTCCTCTCTATTCTCCTCTCTCTTCTCTCTCTCTCTCTCTCTCTCTCTCTCTCTCTCTCTCTCTCTCTCTCTCTCTCTCTCTCTCTCTCTTCTCCTCTCTCTCTCTCTCTCTCTCTCTCTTCTCTCCTCTCTTCTCTCTTCTCTCTCTCTTCTCCTCTCTCTCCTCTCTCTCCTCTCTCCTCTCTCTCTCTCTCTTCTCTCCTCTCTCTCTCTCTCCTCTCTCTCTCTCTCTCTCTCTCTCTCTCTCTCTCTCTCTCTCTCTCTCTCTCTTCTCTCTCTCTCTCTCTTCTCTCTCTCCTCCTCTCTCTCTCTCATCTCTCTCTCCTCTCTCTCTCTCTCTCTCTCTCTCTCTCTCTCTCTCTCTCTTCTCTCTCTCCTCTCCTCTCTCTCTCTCCTCTCTCTTCTCTCTCTCTCTTCTCTCTCTCTTCTCTCTCTCTCTCTCTCTCTCTCTCTCTCTCTTCTCTCTCTCTCTCTCTCTCTCTCTTGATCCTCCCGCTCGTTCGGCTCTTTCGCTGTCCAGTCCGCCTGACCACGGTCAGGGAGACAGGCGCCTCGCAGAGCAGTCAGCTAATCATTACGATGAACGTCAATCTGTGCCTAGTTACGGCGCGCTCTAAATCTCATTCCCATTAACGACCCCGCTTATTTCGCCGGCAGCCCGTTTTTCCCCTTTCATTTCTATATCTTTTTTATTAGAATTCTATCACTCGGCGGCGCCGGGCCAGTGCGCCGATGGCTTTAATAAAGAATTAATTGTGGGTTGTCACCGTCTCCACTGGTGGGAGCGGTGCCGGCACGGCACGTAATCAGCTGATCGGCCAGGCATTGCGGCAATTAATCGGGACTGAGGACGAACGTGGCGCCCGCGGCCCAGCGCCGATACAGCTGGGTCGATCCTCATTCCAAGCCGGTCGCTTCACTTCACAGGATTCGTTGCAAAGGGCGATGCCCGATTTGCGACGGAAATGAACCCCGCCCGGGCTAGGCCACGGCCATCCCTGCAGTGAACTTCCTCAGTTTACAGTGATTGCAAAGATGCTTGAAAGTTGTGTGACCGTTTTTTCATGGCCACTCGACATCATTTTTGCTCCGGCTCCCACAGCTTATCGGATAGGAGTAGGTGTAGACTCGGAAGTCATGAGTTTTGTCGTAACTTAGTCCCAAGTCATGTTGTCATAAGTTAGCTGCCGGGAGGAAAAACATTCCGCATGCATAACGCACATGATTGATTCTCACATACACAAAACCTGCTGAAATACAACCACGACAGACGCTGGACATAAATCAAGTCGGCTTCCCCGCGTCGCAATCGACCGTTTTAACTTCCGCGTAATTTTTTACAGTATCTGTTATACGCACACACACGCACGCACACACATACGCATACACACGACTGCATACACGCACGCACGGCACACGGTACAAGCGCGACTTTATATATATATATATATATATATATATATATATATATATATATGTCTCTCTCTCTCTCTAAATATATATATGTATATATATATATATATATAATTGCGGAAAGCCGCACTCGGAGAAAGTCAACGAATCAAGTGCTCCCTATCGTTATGGGCCCAATGGTTCGTGTTCAGCCAAAGCGCTAATTAAGAAGGCTGGTACTGCTGGCGGAGCCGAAGCTGCGCGTCCAACACGCTGGTGAAGGGGCAGCCGGCTGCGTCGTGCACTTGCGATCTGCTGCCCGCTGCGTGTGGCGCTGAACGCGGCGCGTAGTGCCGGCCGGCCGTCAGCTCGCGCCTGCTGCCCTGACCGAGGCCTGCGACCGGCGCACTATGCCGAGCCCGCTGATGAAGCGACGGGCCGACAGGCGACGGTGGAAGTGGTGCTCGCCAGCGCTTCACACGTCACCCTATCGCACCACTTAACGGGGCACCCCTAATGAAATCGATTTATTACCGGTGCCGTTATTAAACGTGCGGTAGGCCTTGATTAAACAATAGCCGGGCACGGCCGTTATTGCTCTTATCGCTGGATGAATGGGTATGGGTGACAGAGCTCCCCGCGTGGAGGCGACCGTAGACGGCGATTCTCACGGAGGTCGTGCATTGTCTTGAAAGTGGATGTATTCCTTTGAAGAAGTGAGATCATTGTGCTTTGGCAAGGTTTCCAAAGTAGTCGAGAATGTATCACTTCGAAATGCTCAAATAGAACAGCAATAAAGAAGCCATTCGTGACGAATAAAGTCACGTGCATGGGTATTAGGTGAATTTAAAATGTTATAGTGTTATTGAAATCTTTTACTAATTTTTTGCACATTCCTTAAAAGGTGAACATTTTTAATTCTTTGAATAGGGTTATATCTGCCAAGCATTTGATTGTCATCATATTACATTAGAAGAATGATTGCACATAGCGTGAAAAACCTTGAACGATCATAAGGCGTCCATCGTTTGTTCATTGTTTAACTAAAGGAAAATGAGCTGGTTGTTTCGTCAGCAAATTTCATCCGAGGGTTCACATTTTATCCAACATCCTGAATCTTATTAGACGTCTTAGGGTCTAGCGAGGCTTTACGTCTTAGAGGTCTAAACGACATCAAAACTTAGACGTCAAACAACGCTAAGTGTTGGGTCTTTAAACGTCTAAAGCGCATTGCAATGTTTTCAATGCTATTTGGCTAAGCAACCGTGAAATCACTCACGAAGAGTGACTGATCAGCAGAAATCCTGAAATCCAGAGTTTTCGGCATGACGTCACGTCCAAAGCTCTATCACCATCTACGAGCCTCAAATGGTTACAGATGGTGTATGTTGGCCATTGTTCAACCTTGCAAAAATGCACGCTTACTGCACCGTAAAGAAAAGGTGTCTTAGAGTTTATAAAACCTTTTGAAGCCCACTGGTGTCTCTAACTTCCAACCAAGCGTTTTACTGCATAGACAACGAAGAAGGAAGAGGAGAGTTGGGAAGAGGGGAGAATACAAGGCCAAGGGGTTGTCACGCCTTCCGCTTTTTTGCTGCGTTGTCAACTCCAGGTTTCTGGAGTCAATAATGTGATGAACGCATTTCGTGAGAGCGGCGTTGGAAGGGTGCATTTTCATTCGATTGGTGGCTGATATTTGAGAACTGGCTGAACCTTTACGGCTAACAGCATTGGTGCGTCAGGCAGCGCACAGGATGCTGTCAATTCTCTCGAGCCGTGATACTGACACGGCAT